ATAGTTATACAAATGGTACGGAAATGAATACATTGTGTATGTAAAAAATATGTATGTAAAAAATATGTAGAGATTTGACCATTTGGCCTTTTCAATGAATCTAAGTAGATTACATTGAAATGCTGGTGGTGTGACCATTGATATATGTAATAATAATAGTGGATTATTTTACTGGATAGGTTGAAGCCTTTCTTTGTGTAAAGATAGGTGCTCAGAAGATTGTTAAATCATATTAGAGCGAATAATACCCAAATATAGTGATAGGGGTATACATTTCATTGTCCAAGGTGATGAAGCTTATGGAACAATTAGGAATTGATTGGTAATTACATTTATTGTTTAAAAATTAATGTTAGAGTTTCAACTACTTTGAATGAAGTGTTTGCCTTTAGCTCTATTAAGAATAGGAACTAGTCCTAGGAAAGATCTGGGGATATCTATGTATGAAATGATGTTTGGATTGCCATATGTGGGGAAAGTTGAGATGCCTAGGATAGAATTGAAGGATGTTTTTTCTGAAAATATATATACAGGGACTGTCCCAGTGTTTTTCTCATTTAAGGTAAAAAGGACAGAATCCACCTCTTGATTTCCAAGCATATGAATACAAAAGTGGAGACTGGGTCCGATAAAAGCCATTACTGAGAAGAAGTTGCAGCTGGTGTGGAAAGGACTGTTCCAAGTTTTGCTGACTACTGAATCGGCTGTAAGGACTAAGGAACAAATTTGGGTATGCTATTCCAGAGTCAAGGGATTGGTGGCTTTGCCTTATGGAAGGACAGTTGCTACGGAACCTGCAAACCCTCTTAAATTGACTTTTTGATGACAAACCTTTAGACGATTGATGACCAATGGATGGAAGAAGAGTTTTATGAAGAGATTTGTATTTGGCTAGGAGTGGTAATAATTCTTGTTGTGTTTTTGATTGTATTGAGGAAAGATATTATTGATTGGTGTAAATCTATGTTTTGATATCCAGTGGATGTAAGTTCTCCTTGATTGATTGATGTTGGGGGAGCTAGTTCACTAGGAATAATGGGGTTTTTTGTGGTAATGTTTGTTATTCTACAGGTGTGGATAGGAATGGGGATTTTGGCTGTGTTGCCTAGTTACCTTATAACATGGTAGCAGCTATGTTTCCATACTGAATTCGAGCACCGTTATTCTTTTATAGAAACACCACTAACCCTAATAGACACCACTGAGGAAGCTGAGATATGTATTAAGTCATCTTTTGAAGATGGTGTGTGCCAAGTGCAAACGTACATATGAGATAGTTCCTCAATACATTGGCCTTACAAATAGAATGGAATTTTTATATAAGCAATGCACTGAGCTATTTGGTAATTATATACCTTCATACAAGAAGTTTTGGATTTTGGAGGAAGGGTTACATTTTCTATGTCTAAGGATACAAGTTCCCTCCAAGTTAATGTTTTTATGTGGTAACATGGTATTGACCAAATTACCTATTGTATGGAGAGGAGTTTCTATACTGTTACAGGATATTCATAGTTTACAGAAATAAAAGATAATGAAGAGGAGAATTGGGGATTGTGAGAAAAATAGGAATTATTCCTGTAAAAGCATAACCTGAGTTACGCCATTTTGAAATCATGTTAAGGTTTTGTTTTACCTTGTATAACCTGATTATATAATTTAGCTGACATTTAAGAACATGAGAAAGGAAATGTGTAATTCCTGTTTTTGAGAAGATGTCTGTTTTGCAGGAAATACGTTCCTGGGTTAACTTGCCCTTATTAATTAAAGGAAGTACGCAATTGATGTTTTTGAGGGGTATTGCTGTTGGGAATTGGGGAATTTCCAGGGTGGAATTATGTACTGCATATGTTATATAAGATGTTATGTAAGATCTGGAACTGATTCCCAAGGTACTTTATTGACGTGTATTCTGAATGTCCTGAAGACTATAAAAACTTGTGTAAATTGTTTTATTTCCGTCTTTCTCTACTTTAGAGAGAAAGTCCCTTTGCAAAGAATAAACTTTGTTCCAGGATTATTTCGGTCTTTGTCTCTTTAAAACGATAATGGGATTTACCTGTCGACCACAGGGAAGAACAACCAAGTCCCTGCAGTGTTAATATTTCTCGATGCGGAGAAAGCATTTGATCGATTGAACTGGCATTTTTTACTGAAATTAATAGAAAAGATGCAATTTGGAGAATGTTTTACACAAACTATTAAGGCAATATATCAGAAGCAAACAGAGCAAATAAAAATTAATGGTGGTTTAACAGATACTTTCAATATACAAAAAGGAACAAAGCAAGAATGTCCCTTGTCTCCATTATTGTTTATCTTATCGCTGGAACTTTTGTTGAGTAAAATATGTGGGTCAGATGAAATAAAGGGAATTAAAATTAGGCAGCATGAATATAAACTACGAGCATTTGCAGATGACTTGGTTGTTACTTTAACCCAACCAGTACAATTAGTTACAGGTTTAATGGATATAATTAATCAATATGGACAAGTATCTGGATTTAAAATAAATGCAGGTAAAACAAAGATAATAACTAAAAATATGACTATAAATCAAAAAGAAGAAGTAGAAAGACTAACAGGATTTGAAATAGTAAAGAAGGTCAAATACCTAGGGGTTTATATTATGACTTCAAATGTGAAATTATATAAGCATAATTATGAACCGTTGTGGCAAAAAATACAGAAAGAGATGGAAAAGTGGAAAAAACTATAACTGTCTCTGATGGGAAGAATAGCTGCAGTAAAAATGAATGTGTTGCCAAGGTTTTTATTTCTTTTTCAAATGATACCAATACTTAAAAAATATGAAAATTTGAAGGAATGGCAGAAGGGTATTAGTAACTTTGTTTGGGCAGGAAAGAGACCATGAGTAAAGCAAAAGATAATGCAAGACATATGTGAAAGAGGAGGTCTCAAAATGCCCAATTTAAGACTGTATTATGAAGCAGCTGCCCTTTCAGCAGTTAGTGATTGGATGAATCTGACAGAGGAAAGAATACTAAATATTGAAGGATATGGTTTGGTTTACGGTTGGCATGCTTATATGATAAAAGAGTGGATAAGACCTTTAAAAGTCACATATTAAGGAATGCTTTGTTGCGTGTCTGGAAAAAGTATCAATATAAATTAAATGATAAGTTACCAATGTGGACAGCACCCAGACACGCGATAGAGAATATAAGTGTAGAGCAAAAACAAGATGAGATTATAAAGAGCTTCTTTATAAAGAAAGAGGCATACTACAATTAAAATCTATGAATCAATTAAGAGAAGAAAGAATAATTAAAACATGGTTTCAGTATGGTCAGCTGCAAGCCAGATGGAGAGAAGATCAAAAAACTGGTATTCGGCAAGAGGATGAGAATTTGGTAAAACAAATTAGAGATAAAGGCCAAATGCATATAAAAAGGTTGTATAATGCACTGGTTGAAATAGACTCAGAAACAGAGCTAGTTAAGGATTGTATGATAAAATGGGCACAAAATATTGGAGAACCAATAATGATGGAAACGTGGGAAAAAATATGGGTTAGAAATATAAAATTTACGCGAGCCCAGAACTTAAGGGAGAATTTTTATAAAATGTTTTATAGATGGCATTTAGATCCTAAAAAGCTAGCCTGTATGTATTCAAGTTTACAACCTAAGTGTTGGAGATGTGAATGTGAAGATGCTATGTATTATCATATATGGTGGACATGTAAAAAAATTAAGGCTTTTTGGATAAAAATATGGTGGATTATTCAAAATATTTTAAAGACAAAGATAAAATTTACCCCACAGTTCTTTTTGTTGGGCATAGTTACAGATTGTACGGTTATAGAGACTAAGCTGATTTTAAATTTAATAACAGCAGCTAGACTTTTGGTGGCGCAGTACTGGAAGAAGGAAGATTTACCTACGATTGAGGAATGGACATTAAAAGTAGTGAACCTGGCAGAGATGGCAAAAATTTCAGCGTATTTGAAAGACCATTCAAATGAAAGATATATACTGGAGTGGAGAAGATGGATTGACTATATTCAAAACAAGTATCAGACTAAAAAGCTTCAAATAGCCTATGAATGAAACATTCAATTTAGTTTTTTAGTTTATGTCTATAGTTTGTTTTTGAACTATGTGGAGTTAAGGACCAAGGGAGAATTTGGAGTCTATAAAATGTTAGCACATTTTAGTTTATGATTGTTAAATGCTATACCCTGTATTTGCTCTGGGAAGTCTGGGGAGGGGGGTGGGGGGAAGGGGGAGGAGGGGGGTGGGAGGGAGACGGGGAGAAAATGTTTGTATCTTTGATAAAACTTTTTAATAATAATAATAAAAAAAAAGACTGACCAGACAAAATGAGTGTTCTGTCCCCCTTCCCCATACAGGCAAACACACAACCAGGCACACCTGCCAAGATTTTATTAAGCAATCAGACTAGAAACTCTTGTAGATCAGAGTTTTGGCAGTAAACTGCGAAATGCCTGCCAAGTCAGTTTTCACTCACAGTCAGCAAGAGAGAGTTTCTCCTCAGTCCGGTTCAGTAGCAAAAAGTAATCCACGAAGCAAGAATTGGCCAAGGTCCAATCCAGATTTCAGGTAACGCGATGTGACTCTCAGGTTTTTAACTTTGACCGTCACAAAGCCTGAAGAGTAATCACACCCACTTTTATTCCTTGCGGGGTGTGGCTCAGTGACTCAGCTCAATCTCTGGCCCTCCCACGCCTCTTTCGTTACTGCGCACACTTCTCCCTCCAGCGCTGCCTGGGATCAAGCCAGGATTCACCATCCTCGCTCCCTATCTGTTGTTGTTCCGATATGCTTTCCTCCTGGCATATCCCAGGCTGTTCCTCTTGGCCTTTGGATGGAACCTGAGACATTGCCAGAGAGGAGGGTCCTGGAGAGGGAGGCCTTATTAGTTCCTCCCCATCACTTTCTGAGTCCTCTTCCTCTGTTAGGACAGGCTCGGGAGTCGGGGTCACAACAATGAGTCTGAAAAGGACACATTGCATCTCATTTATCCAGTGGAAGAACCTCGGACACTTCCAACATCACCAGAACAGCTGTCACAGCCGTCTCCGCAGGACACAGCAATGGATGACATCCTAAGGGGTGTGAGCACCCATTACAGGAAAAATGTGGAACTTTTGCTGAACAAAATGAAGCAGCATCAGGACGTCTCAACCTGGGATGCTCGTGGTACCTTTTTACACAAAGGGGTCCCTATTCCTGGTACTAATATTTTAGACTTGGTGAAAAGAACCTTGCAACACTGAGCCCCTACTGAGAAGCGGTAACCTAAAGGCTGGGATGACTTTATGAATGCTATGGCTGAGATGAATGTTCCAACCTCTGTATTGGGTTCTACTGATGTTAAAGAGCAAATAGAAAAGCTGAAAGATTCTCTGGTTGTTAAGGATGAAACTGCTACTGGCCCCGTTTCTGTTATGACAACCCCTTTTGGAACTCAGAACCCTCTGTTTACAGGCATCCCCTCTAGCCCCCGGACGTTAAATCCTAGAAGTAGATTCAGGTTTGGTAACTTGTTCAATTTGTAAAATGAATAAAAACACAGTGAAACAAGTAAAAACGATTAAGTCTTTTTCTTTATTTTAAGTAAAGCAGGCGTGTCTGCATGCACTGGTGACAGTTACAGGCTCCGAGCCAGGGGTGAAATGCTCCCAGTTCTGACCGGATCACCCGACCTGGTAGCGATGGAGGCAGGTGGTTCAGAGAACCAGTAGCAAAAAATCCCACCCACCACCCACCTGCCCACCCCCCCATGCCCAACTGAGCCACACAATCATCAGAGGCTTTTTTTTTCCTTTTAAAAGCATTTTTTCTACAACCTGTTTGACTGAAGGGTTTTTTTCTTTTAAATGCCTCTGACGATCCCAGCTGAGTTTTAAAAAAGCCTCTGCCGATCAGGCAACTCAGCTGGGATCGTCAGAGCCTTTTGAAAGCATATTTTTACAACCTCTTCACCGAAGAGGTTGTAGAAAAAATAGTTTTAAAAGAAAAAAAAAATTGGCCACACCCAGCCAGTCACATTATCCCCCCCCCACAAGCATGCCCATAGAACTGGTAGTAACAAATTTTAGATTTCACCACTGCTCTGAGCCCCCTTCCCACCTTTATAGTTTTTAGAAACTGTTTACCATTTCATCATTTTTAATATTGACATTGGAGTACATCTTTAAAATATTTCCATAGTCCACTTCTTTAGCCCGGTTCAGTAGAAAAAACACACAGTGTTGCCCGCAGGTCACAGCGTTGGGGTGTTGCAGTTGACGTTGGTGAAATGTGTACTTCTCAGCTTGCTGCTCTAAAAACATCACTATGGAGCCAGGAAAGTCAGGGCTATCCGGAAGGCTCCCATAAGAATCAAAAAAATTGCCATATCCGGGAGATGGAAAGTAGAGGGCCAGCCAGTGTTCACCAAGCAGAGAGTGAGGGTGGGTATTTACAATTAATCCAAAAGGTCTTTTGGAGATATGTCTCTGGGGTAGCAGGTCACAAGGGTAGACCCCTAGAAATGCAGTATTTCCAGAGAACAAGTGGAGAAGCTGCAGTGTGTCCATAGTCACATATAATCAAAAAGCACATTCCTTGTGTGACTTATTTCAATAAGATTTTCAAAGATTGCATAGAGAATCATATTGACGTTGTTGGGGAGGCGCTGTGCAAATCTAATTTCGGCTCTGAGATTACTGTTCCTGATCAAAGAATAGTGCTCAGAGCACCCCTGATCAGGACTCAAGTCAAAACAAAGTATACCCTCAGGTAAACTCACCCCGGTTGATTAACAGCGGCCTGTCTTTCATGCCTTTGCCTGTTGCTTGCACCATCTGCATGTACTCTCTCACAAAAAGACCCTGCTCATAATCAGGCTGAAGAGGCTTTGCAGAGATCTGCTCACCGTCACAATGCAGAGCGCAAAAATTGACATTGCAGTGTTGAAAATTGAACGGATTTCTTTCATAATCCCCACTAAAAGATGCATTGTCCACAAACCCAATCACTAATTGTTTAGGTAGCTGCCCCAGAAATAGATTTTCCTGATTACACACAAGGCTACCTGCAGGAATGCTGTAAAACTTCATCCCCACACGATCAATGGGGTATTTGGCATTGGAAGTAAGCAAAGCTTCTGCATGACCAAGGCACACATCCAGGGCTACTTTTACACATTTTACAAAGAGAGAAGCCGACAGGAGTTGTACTTTGTAATTCTCATTGCCTTCCTTCATCACGCAGAATTCATTTCTGCTTCTTGTGAATTTGACTTTCATATCAACACCATTAATTAACAGTCTGTCTTGAAAAAAACAGATCGCTATGCAGAGGCCCAAGTAGATCCCATTTACAACTACCAGCTGTGTGTCTTGCTCTCGCTTTGAAACTGGAGTTCACGGTGGCTGTCAGTAGAGTACTTTCCATGAGGTCCGAGTCATCTTTGTAAAAAACCCCAGCTGTAAACTGGGTACCCAGCAAATCACCACCAAAGTTCAGAATCAGTTCAATCACGGCCCAATAAGAATAGCAATGATGGCTCTGTGTAATGAGCCGATCTCCCAAGGTAACATCCAGCTGGTTAAACAATGATGCTATAGGGTAGTTGGTCAGGGCCACCCTTGACCCATCATCAATATGTGTCCCATCAGCCTTTACAATCTTGCAACTCACATACAGCAGGGTGCTGTTTAAATCCGTGTAATGCTCACCATGTCCCATGATAAAATATTCCAGGGGAGCGTTGGGTGTTAGCGCTGATAAAGGAGAGATCTCGACATAGGTACTGTTTTCAATACTGATCTGTGTAGGTGCCAGTTGAAAAAGATCCAGTTCTGATTTAACACATTCCTCTGAAGCAGCGTGAATAAATGACATATTGTATTAGAACATGTCTTCCTTGTCACAGGGCTTCCTCTTCTGCGACCGTCTCTTCTTGATATGACGGTTTTTTTTTCACAAGTCTTCTCTTTTTAAATGGAATAGGAGGGCCTGATGCATAATTCTTCCAGGCTATGACCAACCCTGATCCATCCTGCCCCCTCTCAACAACACGGGATACAAGGTGCCCCGCAATATCTCTGGCAATGTTTTTGGCAGCAGATTTCACATGCGGCTTAATGATTTCTAATCCTCGCCTCAAAAAAGGCATTGCTTTTCAAAAAAGCCCATGGAACAGACCCCCTAAACCTGTCCCGTACATAATGGGGGCACCTCAGAAGCCCAGAAGCCTGCCACCGGCTTGTGCCCTGTAGTAAGCTACGTAGTCTTGAGGTCTCCCATGCTCCTTGATTACAACCATCCTTCACTTTTCCGAGGCCTAAAATGAAGCTTGACAATCACCTTCCCATGATAAAAATGCACGTTTTTGTCCTGGTCGGTTTTGATTTCTATAGTAACAGTATCAATGTGATGTTTGCTGACTGGTACATAATGCGGACAGTCATAGGTCATTGTGATGAAATCATTGTCTTGCCCTCGCATAGGCACACAGCGCAGTAATGGCACATAGAAGTCACCCACTATCTGGAGCTCTACAATATCTGTATAAACATATAAGGTGCTGAAGCCAGGGAACATACCTAACAGATGTCCAAGTTCTCCGCTAACTAGAATGGTATACGGTTCATCTCCTTTAAGATTAATTTTTCGGGCCACCGAATCGTAAGGTTGTCTTAGGCCTGTCCTTGGTATTTGATATAAGATTGTTCATATTTTCTAACAGCTGTTATAATACCCACTTCTCAAAGAATATCCAGGAGACATTAATGTGTACCAATTATGCGGATACTGTATCTCTGCTAACTCTACTTCCCATGACCCTGGAAGGTCCAATGGTATCGGTAATGGAATAGTAAAATTAGAATTTTTGTTTTTGGGGAAAATTGCTGCTGATGCATTGCTAGGAAGGGTGATGTAAAACTCGGCCATATCAAAGATGTTGTACTTCAGTATCCTTAACCCAACTGTTGAACCTCTCTGGCCATCCAGCCCATTTAACTAGGAGTTCTCTTTATTTTCCCCTCCCTCTTTTCCGGAGTATTTTTTCAATTCTGTAGACACGTTCTTGGTCGCTACGGATTTTTTGCAACTCTTCTGGGTAAAAAGATCCTTGTAAGGGGTCCTCTGCATAATTCATTAATCTATATAACTCCCTTTCCCCCCTCCTAATGCATTCTTTGACGATAAATATTTCATCTGTAACGGTTTGCTGATAGCCCTTTTCAAATTTTCCCTTTATCCTAACATGGTTCCTCACCTTAAGGGCTTTTAACTTTCTGTTCATTTTAATTTTTTTCCCGTATAGGCACATCCACACCTCCTTTTCATTAGATCACTTTACCATATTGGGAGCTGTCAGGATACTGCAATGGTAAGAATCGTTGTAGCCCCAAATGAGGGCCAGCAAAATATCCACATAACGGTGCGTGTTTTTAGCTGTAAAATATCTCCATTTTTCAGAGTGCAGTTAAACCTCTCTATAACCACTGCTTTAGTTTCACTATGTGTGACAAAATGATGTATGCCATAACGTACCAAAAGCTTCTTCAGAGGTTTATTTAAGAATTCCTTTCCGGCACCTGTCTGTAACTTTCTGGGGGCACTTCCTGTTTGGAAGATGCTCTGGAAGGCATCAGCAACCCCCTGTCCTGACTTATTAGATAAGCTGACAGCCCAGGCATATTTGGATAGCACATCAATTACTGTTAAAATAAATTTTGTGCCGTTGTTTTCCATGGCAAATCCTGATAAATCCACAAGATCGGCTTGCCACTGACAGTCTATGCAAGAAACTATTGTTGCATTCCTAGGAAAGTTAATTCTTGCAGGTTTATGAAGGCTATAAGCATCTTGTCCGGAAAGCCATGTCTTGACATGGTTCAATGTTAAGTTTTTAACGTGCTTCTGGCCAGCCTTATATAGTGAATATACACTCCCATAGCAGCACGTATAATTGGGTTTATAATATAGTTTCTTTAGAATTTTTTCATACTTCATTCTGCTCCATCCACATCATACAATAAACACACTTTACTCTTTAACACAATCCTTTTATTTGTAATTTAGAGTACACTAACATGAACTTTGCCATTGGAATAATAACTTTCATGGTCATCACCATCATCATCATCATCTTCAACTTCTGTAGTCATCACACAAATACAACCAATACACCCACATGTGCATCCTTCCATAACGTTATCTACATTTGCCCTGTCTCTTTTTACATCACCCATTAGACAAAAGGGGTATTCGGTAAGTTTCAGAACAGATTCATTAATATTGTCATTAACATCAACCATAGGCATGCTGTTAACAGGCTTCATAGGGCTCTGACAATTGTTTCTGTCCTCTGTAAATTTTTGTATGCTTGAGGTGTTTCTTGAAAGAACCAGACTCTTGTCATTTTTATATCTAAAATCCATTTCTGGTAAAATATAAAATAGATCGTTACTAAAGCTAACAGCAACTTTCCCCGTTTAATATATAACTTTATCAGCAATGGCTGTAGTAAAAAAGTCAATTTAGTTTCATTTACCTAAGAAATCCTCTGCAGACTCTTCATTGGTTGATAGGTTTATTATTAAAGAATCACTGCTGCTATAGCTATAACATGGAACAGGACCTGGAAAATATATTAATTCATTACCTATCATGATATTAGCGGTGTTATCCTGAATTACACATTTGGATATATAACAGGGGTTTTACTTATTCAAGCCGGTTCGTTGGATAGGCGATAAAGAACATCTCTTAGTCGTTTCCCACCCCGACAGGTAAGATCTGGTGAGATCGTCCACATCTTTATGTTCTATAGCATCCTATACGTTACAGCACGCTAGACAACATCCAAATAAAATAGACCTGAAGTACTGTAAGTCTTCATCAAACATTGTACAACATATTTTACGGCAGTCGTTCAGAATAGCCTTGACTCGGGCCATGATGTAGAAGGGTATACAACCTTTTGATTATTTCTGAAGCAAGGATCCATGTTAGTAAAATCTGTACTGATTTTGTACCGGTAGCTGACATTTGGCAAATACCCCTTGGATCCTTGAAACCCCATCACTTTAGGCATTTTACTCAGTTTCATGGGTAAAAAAGAAAGGCTGTCAATAAAATGTGTATGAAAGATTGGTAGGGTTATGCATAACAGTTTGCCCCCCTGAGTTGACAATTGTACCTTCACCTTTTCACGAATCAGCTGCCTGAGGATTAGGTAACCATCATAAATCTTGGAGTTGTAAGCGATGAATGTAGATCCTTTAAACTTAGGCTGTACAAATGTTTTCACAAATTCCTCCAGACACTTATCACAATACCATTCCCATTTCCTAACATCGCTGTCATCCAACATAGTTTGGTATATGTGTCCCTGTTTCTTGACAGCATCAAAATCATACACAATGTATCGGTAGCCAACATTTGGCTTAAAAATCCTTTTCAGAAAACATAAATGGTCTGTCAGGCTACCTACTTTGGTATCATACTGTCCACACGCCAGCTTCTTACATTCAACATGTGGTACAGGTACATAGAAACCACACCTGGAACAAAATACATTATCCTCACAAATAATTTTTCCTTCTCCCGCCAACTGTTTGTGTCTTTCAAGACAAACCTTAGAGTGACAAAGCAACTTGCACTTAGGGCATCTCATCCTCCCCACAACAACTTCATGGCACTCTGATTTTCTTTTCCAAAATCTTACTGAATAGAACTGTTCCTAACTTCCTAAGGCCTCCCCCCTCATGGTTTTTAACAATAGTGACTGTTAATTCCAAAGAGTTCCTCCATAAGATCTCCGCATTGCTTTGTAATAAACTCTCTACATAACTAAGGTATTGGTCAGCATCTAACTCCTCGAGTGGCCTTTTAACACTAAAGAGAGGCCTGCCTAATTCCTCAGCATCCAGCCACAATTGTACAAAATCGTTTGGCCGTATATCCCTGGAAATACGGTTCAAAAGATTCTGTATCTCATTATGAATAACATCTATAGCCTGCGTAAATGATCAAACATGTTCCATATTTACAAATCTATAGCGTCCATAATACTCTATTGCTCTGTAATGCTGCAGGGCCCTCTGCCATGCTTGAACTCTCTCCAGGTACACAACCGGTACTTCTGGTGTACTTAGTGAGTCGGAATCTTCCAAGGGATCCCATTCCTCTGCTGATTGTGTTTCTGACATATCACACTCTTCACTGGAGATGTCACTGTATGTGAGTGTTGGATGCTGCTCCTCAGCCCCCCTTTTTGACTTTTTACAAGCCAGTTCTAAATAAATAAAAAAATAAAAACAAAAACATATCGAAGAGCTGTCACTGTTTAATGAATACAAACAAACATATTTAGAAATTATTGTGCATTTTTAATTAACCTTGTATGTCATGGGATGTGGACAGCTGGGGTTCAACTTCCTATCCTTGTATATCCCATACACTGCACAATGGGTTCTGCTGCGATTCAAAACTCAGCTGAATGCTTTGTATCCAGTAGGACTTGGTACTTTTGCAGACCCGTTTGCTGCGTCTATCTGTAGGCACACAAATAATTAGCGATTAGTATTCTTACTTATTATAGTACATATAACATATTGACTGTCGACTGGAAATTCGTACTAGCCCGGTTTTCTAAAAGCGTGTATGTAATATCAGTTCATACCTTGCATTTCCATTTCTTCAGATCCATGAGTTGTGGCTATCTGCTGCTCCGTTTCTGACATCTGGTCCTCCACAGGCGCATGTGATGTGCTTGCTTGCGGGTTCCCACCACCTTCAACAACTTGTGAAGCACTGTTCCTTGGGAATTTGTCACGCATCTGTCCATTCCACCATTCTAAAAGGTATGTACTGCTATGAGTCACACGGGCTCTCACGTTTATTACAATAAATACTACTGTCTATAGCATGAAATGGAGGGCTTCCTTACAAGTTATTGTTTGGTGATGACACTTCATTGTAGGCCCTAAGCCCCTTATATCTTTTATACAATATATATGTCTGCAAAATAAATACCACACCTTTTATTTTCTTGTGTCTCTCGTACTGTGGCATCCCTGTGACCCGTTATGTGCGGCCCATTGAGAGTCCGTGGGCATTGTACATGCAGCAAACATATCATCATCATCATCATCATCATCATCATCATCATCATCATCATCATCATCCCAGTCTGAAAGAAACACCGAATCCTATAGGTATCCTTCTTGCTACAGAAAAGATAGAGGTCTGCAAATTAAATGCCATACCTTGTAAAATCCATTCTGTAGCTTTGCATTGCAACCCCTAATATAGCTGTGCCATTGTGAGTCTGTGGGCATTGTACACATGGCAAATATTTGCTTGCTAAAAGGAAAAAGAATACCGTAGCATGCTTTTAGGCATTGAGAATCTGTAGCATCATCCTAATAAACACAAAACAATTATTATAAATATTATTCCCTATATATACAGTATATATATATATATGCCTTGCAATACCTTAAAATAGTTATAAAAGCACTTACATTAGTCTGGTCCATCCTGAAGAGTCCTTCTTTACCAGTGTTGTGACTCCGACCCCCGATCCTGTTCTAACAGAGGGAGAGGATTCAGAAGGCGAAGGAGCGGATTTGCCAAGGCCTCCCTCTCCAGGACCCTCCTCTCTGACAATGCCTCAGGTTTCCTCCGAAGGCCAAGAGATATGCCAGGAGCAAGGCACTTCGGAGCAGCTGCAGATAGAGCGAGGGGGATGAGTTTTGGTTGGATCCCAGACAGCGTCTGAAGGATAAGCGTGCAAAGCAAAGAAAGAGGCATGAGGGGGCCAGAGATTGAGCTGAGTCACTGCTCCCCTTGTGGGGGATAAAAGGGGATGTGTCAGCTATTCAGGCCTTGTGACGAACAAATTGAAAAGCTCAGAAGTCATATCGTATTTCTAGAATGCTGTTAGAATCTCTTTTTGGATTTTTTCGGACTGGACTTTGACAATTCTTTGCTTTGAGGAATTAATTTGGTATATCGGACTGAGGAGAAAAAACCTCCCTTAGTGAGTAAAATCTCTTGGCAGGCAGTTCATGGTTCGGTGCCAAGATTGTTATCTTAAAGGAATTCCTGACTGTTTGATTCATTAACTCCTGGCTGTCTGTTTGTGTGTATGTGTGCGTGCGACGGGGACAGAACAACCGGTTAACAGAGATGTGCACCTATATTTAAATGCCTAGCCCCTTTCTTATCAGTTTCAACTAAATACAAGTCCTGTGCCCCCACCCCAATGCTGTTGCGTCACATATAATCCTTGAGTCATTCCCCTTTACAGAACAGAAATAACACATTTCCAATAACTGCTTTATTTGAAATTCGCTCCATTTACATTAACATTTTCTTGTAATAAATTTCTGATACAGTTTGGCATATCAATCTCTTGACAGATATCAGGGTCTCCTCTTGTATCTTTGTCATTAATGCCTGTGGGTCCTTCGACTTCTCAATACTTTTTATACAGGCATTGACTTCATTCAAGGTATCCCTTGTGAAATATAATTTATTCATTTTGTCAGAAATATTAATAATTGTCCATACAATTTGAGGTTTAGATATTTGAAGACACATGCTTTTAACAACACTTGCTTCAATGGCTCTATCCAGCTGATCCTCATTTTGCAGGCAACCCATTAAACAATGGTGGAGAATTTTGACAACACAAGTCTTGACAATTTGCAAAAGTCCTGTATTCTGATGAGCGGCCTGTTCTGAAAGAAGAAATACAGTACATTATATATTCAATTTTCAAATCATGAAACTTTTTTGGTTTACATGTTCTGCATACCCTCACCATTGGTTGTTTGGCAGAAACGGTAATAACATATCTTAACCATCAAGCCACGCTTACTCTCATTATTAAACGTTTTACACTTTTTCCTAACACGTCGGGCTCTCTTTGGTGGTTCAGGTCTCACATTTACAGCGAATAAATCAGCCTCTGACTGTAACTTAGCATTATTTTGATTATTTCTGAAGCAAGGATCCATGTTAGTAAAATCTATCTATGTTTTAAGCAGAGGTGTTTGCAGAGACCTCCTTTTTATCAGCCTTTTGAAAAATCAGGTCACGCCTGGGACAGGCCTGAACATGCCCTAACCCCTCCTGTCACACGTGTGTATACAGCGCCTGCCCACACACTAATCCCCTGGGACATGCCACAAGCCCTGTGCCCTATTGCTGTAAATAAGCATGCACATAACTACCCCATATATATATATATATTTACATGTATCGCCTGTATCCCACTCAAGAATTCTGTTTTTCAGCCTTTTGCTTCTTATCCTTGACCCCTTTCGGAAAAGAAAAGCCCTCGTACAAAAAGGCCTTTTGCAAAATAGTATTTTTATTTTTACAACCACTCTATAATGTAGAAAAACTTAGAACTAAGAAAAGGAGGTGTCCGAATTCCTTTTTTTATTTATATTTTCCAGCTTTTTGCCACCGTCCCTGCCACATTTCAGAAAAGCAAAGCATTCATACAAAATGTTTTTTGCAAAATAGCATTTTATGTTTACATACCTACAATGTAAGCACCCCCCTAGAACAAATACATGATGTTGCTCAAAATCCTTGCATTACAATAGGGCCCTGGCTCAGGAACTGAGCCATAGTTTGCTTACATTTGCATTGATAAACCTTTCCTAGTATGTTTACATTTACACTGATAAAGTCTTTCCACCATGCTGTGCGTGTAAACAGACTTTTTAAATTAATTTTTGCACACAATCCCCTGTTCAAACAGCAGTCAGCCCTCACTACTTCCTGTAAAATGGGCTGAAATCACAGTCCTCCAAGGGAGGGAAGGGGACCCCGGAAGTGATGTTGTGCTACTTCCTTTAAAAGGGGTTGACAGCGAGACAGGAGGGCGAGGGGTTATGATGTCACGATCCTCCAAGGGCAGGGCGGGTAGAAATGATGTTACAAAGTGGGTGGATCTAAGAAGTCCTAAAACAAGTCCTCCAAGGGCGGGGGTCCGGAAGTGACATCACAAAAATGGGCAGGGCTACCAACTCCTCAAAACAACAGTCCTCCAAAGGGGTGATGATATCACAAAAGGGGCAGAGCTAAAGCTCACTAAAAAAACAATATGTACTCTTACTTGTAATGTACTAATAGACTAGTTTCCATTTTATTTTAGGAATTGCTTCATAAAGAATAGAAAATTGTTTGTTTGTTTGTTCATTTGTTTATTCAATTTCTATGCCATTCATTTCAGTCAAATACTTTGGGTGGCTTACAAAAAAATATAATTAAGACAATAAAAACATTGTAAAACATTTTAAAACAATAAAAAATAAAAATATCCAAAATAAATAAATAAACATAGTGGTTGAGACGCTTGGCCACTTAACAATGCAGCCAGGAAACGGGGTCCTTGATGCATTCAGCACCCCAGGCTCAGGAACACAAGTTTTCCAGTGCTTTAGGAAAGGCTAACACAGTTTGGGCCATTCTAATGTCTGAAAGGATGTTCGGTAGAGCAGTGACCACTGCAAAAAAAAAAAGCCCATCTTCTAGTCCCTGCAGCTGGCACTCTGGCTGATGGGATCTGCAATATGACCATTTCACTAGATGGGTAGAGATTCTTGGAAAAAGGCAATCCCTCAGGTAACATGGTCCCAAGTCATGTAGTATTTTAAAGATGATAACCAACCATCACCTTGAATTGTATCCAGAAACACACCGGTAACTAATGCAGCCACAGAGAAGTGATATTATGTGTGTAGTATATCTGGCAGCATTTGAAGTTTCTGAAAGTTCTCCAGCGGCAACCCCATGTGCATCACAGTAGTTTAAACAAGAGGTTACAAAGGCATGAGCAGGGCCTCACAATCCAAGAATTGGTGTAAATGGCACACTACCCAAAGGTATGCAAAGGCTTTCTAGCCTTAACTTCCACTTGCTCTTCAAGCAAGAGCTGCAAGTCTAAGAGGACTGCCAAATTCCACTCTGGGTCTCTTTGGGATCCCATCAGAATTAAAAGTGGAGGGATCTTGTTTCTGAAGGTCCAAATATGTTATTCTCTTCTAAATAATGAAGAGAATGTAAGTAATAAATAAAGCTATTTAATTCATAAATTTAATTACATTTACATAATTACATGTACATAAATTACAGAAATACATTTAATTTCTGTAAAACAGTACAGTAGTAAAAACTGGAGGAAAAGTAAATGATTAAGGCAACAATGTTTCTTTGTAAAATATATAATTTAAATCAGTTTGATCAAACTACTGAGAAAGACTTAAGGATTCTGCAGATCCATTTATCTAATTGTTCATGCAACTGGAACTGCAAAGATTGCCATTGCTAAGTGCTGTAGCACTTTATAATTGCATTGCTTAGCGATGGAAATTTTGGTCACAATTGCAGTTGTCTGTCAAGGACAACCTGTAATATATTAATGGGATATAAACTGACAGTGATTGATCAGGAAAGGGATCTTAGAGTCCAGTAGATGGCTCAATGAAGATGTCAATCCTGTGTTGACTATAAAATTGCTAGTGCTATATAATTTGTTATACACATCTTGAGACTATACAACAGTATTTTTATGTTGTGGTCACACATCTTATTTTAACTATAAGGCAGCATACCTTATAGATAAATTGCTAAGAAACATTGAAAAGGATAGATCATCCGTCTAGACTTTGGAACATTCCATATGTTCATTGTTGGCCACTGCGTGATATAGAAAGCTGTGTCTTTCCGTAGTCTTCTCAATGGTAGTTTTCTCTGTTTTGAGAAATAGATATAGATTCACAAACACAAACATACTTTTTATTAAAATTTGCAATTTACACTAGGCAATATAGAATATAGTCTATATAATATAGAATTGTACAATACATTTCCAGATTTTAAAAATGGCTCACCAATTACTTCAGACATAGCTGTTTAAATCTATCATTTCTTCTATGATTAAAAAAAGGAAGCCAGTTTCCAAATGAAATTGAAATACAAGGATCATTATCTCCATCTGTGATTAAGGAAAAAGCCTTCAGCTTCAGGAGATAAGGCATGCACACTTTTGATGTTCTGTTTGAAATCAGTAATGGGCTAACATCCATAACTCAGTTGTATATCAGCTAAATAATGATAAATTTTAGCTTTTAAGGAAAAAGATTCCCAACAGTTCTAGAGTATAACATTAACATGCATCAATCATTTTTATTCTGTTTATTTAATTCATGGCCGAAGACTAAACAAGCATTGAAATATTAGAAAATACTCGTAGCTTGGGTTTTAGATTTTGGCAGTGGTTTGCTCTCTTGAGTTTGCCATTTAGTTCCTGAACGTTTTGTTACCGGTTAGGTAACATTATCAGTGGGATTTCGGTAGAAGTGTCTTGTCCTCAATTGTAGAAGTCAGCAAGACACTTCTACTGAAGCCCCACTGATGATGTTACTTAGTCAGGTAACAAAACATTTGACACGCTCGGAGAGCAAACCACTGCCAAAAATTAAACAAGCATTTTAGGAAATAAAAGTGACTATCAATATCAATAAATATATACAACTATGTGAACACAAATGTATTATAGTATGTATGACTACAAAATGCAGATTTGCATCCTATTACAATTCCTTTATTAAGAAGGGGAAAAAAACCTAACAAAAAAACCCAATTAGGAACAATTATCCTGATCAGGCCTTCAATTTCTACTGTAGTTTAGTCTTTCTTAATCCAAGCATGTTGATTGTTACCAAAGCATCAGGTGGAAATAGACTTCTAATAAATGCATTGTAGTAAATGTTTCCAGGTTTCTTCAGGTTCCCTATTGTAGTTAATTATATCAAAGAGAAAGAAGGGGAGTGTGTGTGCCTATCAGAGATGTAAGACACTAAAGGCAGACCTTATTATTTGTAGCATACAGTTGTGGAACCATAACGAACAAGACTCTGAACCTATGGAGCCCTGAAAGATAATCCCCCAAATCACAAAAAAGCAGAAATAAGATTATTTTATAAAGAACACAAGAAAGAAGCAGTGGAGGCCCAATCCTCACTGCCTCCTCCAACATGCAAAAAATCAGTGTTGCTGTGATGGATGTATGCAAAGGGATGGTGTTTTGCCTTATCTTGCTTTGCAAAGCCTAGTATGTGTTTTTACAGAATTGCAAGGCAGTCTGTATCTCCCTTTTGAATTTGATGCTATGTTCCATCAGGGAATCAAGTTCAAACTCTGTCCACCAAGATGTTCCTCAATACAGGCTGTCAGAAAAGCTCTTCTTGCTTAGGGTTCCTACTGCGGAAACCACTGCACACTTGTTCACAGTGTAGAGGAAATTACACGCAGGAAAAAGATGCTCATACAAGGTCAATTTAGTGGAACATTGCAGGGGTGGAGGCTAGATGTGTATTTGTACACATGCACAAAACGACGAATCAGAATGATGCATTAGAAACTCCTGTGGTGCAAAAAATGTTTATCAACTGCAGATTTTTGAAACCGCAGACAAGATCTACTACAGTGTATACTAGTAAAGGTAAAGGTAAAGGTTCCTCCGCACATGTGTGCTTGTCATTTCCAGCTCTAGGGGCGGTGCTTGTCTCCGTTTCTAAGCCAAAGAGCCAGTGCTGTCCAAAGACGTCTCCGTGGTCATGTGGCCAGCATGACTAAATGCTGAAGGCGCATGGAGCATTGTTACCTTCCCACCAAAGTGATCCCTATTTTCCTACTTGCATTTTTTATGTGCTTTCGAACTGGTAGGTTGGCAGAAGCTGGGACAAGTAACAGGAGCTCACTCAGTTATGCAGTGCTAGGGATTCGAACCGCTGAACTGCCGACCTGATTGACAAGCTCAGCATCTTAGCCACTGAACGAAAGCAACAAATTCTATGTTCCGCTTGACTTACCTAAAGTCAAGCTAAAGTTTAGCTAAACACACCAGGCCACAGCACAGCCACAAGAATGTGTTTTTGGCAGTATTGTTCCCTGAAGCATAAGGCAAAAGTAAGGTGACCAGATTTTAACATTGGTAAAGAGGGACATTGTGGGCGTGGCTTATTTTGTGGGCATGGCTAGCTGGTCATGTGACCGGGTGGCCATGGCTATGTGTATAGGGTAAGGTGAACAGATTTTAACATTGGTAAGAAGGACACCATTGTGGGCGTGGCTTATTGTGTGGGCGTGACTTGGAGGCCATGTGACTGGGTGGGCATGGCTAGCTGGTCATGTGACCGGGTGGCCATGGCTATGTGTATAGGGACTACTCAGAGGGCTGAAAAGTCACTTCTGACAGGTCCTCACACTTTTGACTGGTCCTCACACTTATGACCATCCTAACATTTATGCCCGTGCAGCATTCTTAACAACCATGTCACTCATTTCACAACTGCTTCTCTTCACCATGGTGACAAGATAGGGCAAAAATGTAAAATGTGAGGACAGTCGTAAGTTCGAGGACTGGTCAAAAGTGCGAGGACCAGTCAAAAATAACTTTTTCAGCCCTCTGAGTAGTCCATATGCACAAAAGGACTAACCAGAGGGCTGAAAAAAGTCATTTCTGACAGGTCCTCGCACTTTTGACTGGTCCTCACACTTATGACCATCCTCACATTTATGCCCGTGCAGCATTCTTAACAACCATGTCACTCATTTCACAACTGCTTCTCTTCACCATGATGACAAGATAGGGCAAAAATGTAAAATCTGAGGACAGTCGTAAGTTCGAGGACTGGTCAAAAGTGTGAGGACCAGTCAAAAATAACTTTTTCAGCCCTCTGAGTAATCCATATGCATAAAAGGATACAGTAATAGAGAGGGATGAAGGAAGGGAAGGGAAATTAGAGTAGGAGTGACGGTAAGAGAGGGAGGAAGAGAGGAGGAGAAGGAGAAAGGAAGAGGAAATAGGGAGGAGAAGAAGAGGGTGGGGGAAAGAGAAAGTAAGAAGGAAAGAAAAGAGAAAGGTGATAGGTTTGAGGAGAAAGATTGCTGTACAATAAAAAAGATGAAAGGGAAGAAAGCCAACCCCAAACAAATATAAAGATATTAAGATAAAGAATGAATTGTTAAACTTTAAAGAATAAAAGAGAACAAATATGAATAAATA